ATTTACCCTCTTTGTTTGTGCCTAACATACATCGCGCTTCTCTCTCTCTGCTTTTCTATTCCAGAAAAGGCTCAGTTCAGATAAACCGAGCAAAAAAGTAGCTACCAAGAAATTCAAAGGTAAGTCAAAAAAGGATACTGTTCCAGCATGATAAGATGAGTTGTACTAAGACATCTTTTATTGTGTTGTGCTATGCTTTCACCTTCTCAGAAAAACGAAGAAACCCAGGGGAGGTATGACACAGACAGCAGAGAAAAAGCAGGAGTCTACTCTCGTCCCCTCACTTATTTTCTTTGCTACAGGTTCATTCCAGGGCGCAGCAGAGTCGATGGAGGAGGAATTGTCGGTTGGCTAGATGTAGAGATTGAAGATGAGTTCGGTTTGAAGAGCAGTTTGTTAGCTTTTGGTACTACCGACATGATATGATCACGTCGGCATTGAATCCCTCAGTGAGCTTAAACAGACGTCAGCACTACAGAGGACTCACCTTCAAACTCCCTTGGATTACATTCAAGAAACTCAGTGAGGTCAGCAAGCGTCCCAACAAGAAAGCCAAAGATTGCGTGGTAGAGATGTTGCAAGTATGATCAAGGAGGGGAGCATCGATGTATTAAATCTCTCCTAGGTTGGAAAAGAGACCATTTCAAGGAGGTGATGCAGTAGTGAAGAGATTTGGAACTTTGCATGTTCCCAGTTGACACACAAACTGTGGCCACCTTGAAGCCGGAGGCAAGCGACATTTCGAAAAAAGTGGCCGTCCTTGGATTCGAAAGCACGTTCGAGCTCTTCCAGGTCATTGATACTACAGCCCCCCCCCCCTTCAAAACCTTCTTTTATTGTGAACATGAAGCCCCTCTGTTTTTCCCATCCCCCGGGCCATCTCCATCTACCCCAAAAGCCCTAGAAAAACCAGGTATTTACCCACTATGACCCTTAAATATTACCCAAACTACATTCTTTCCACAAATAGTAGTAAAATTCCCGTAGAATCCTCTATTTTATCCCCCAACCCCCCTAAACTGCTCTTTTTTTGCAACGGTTTTATAGATGTGTGAATGAAAGCACGACTCTCTTGGGCAGTTATTTCATTCCCAGTTCCTTGTGGGAGTTGAACCTGACAGGATGTTCTTTCGAAGTCAACAGGTGGGTCCACGTCATCACTGTGACTCGTGCTTTTGAAATATGCTGGTGTTGGTGGGACTGAGTCGATCTTAATCGAATAGGTTCGAATTCGATTTGATTTAGAGTGTGGGTTAATGTATTCCTCGACATCATAATGGGGTCTCGTTTTAGAGTCTGGGTTAATGAGACAGTTAATGGGGGTTCTCGTTTTGCAGGAGAGACGTTAGGGCTTAGGTCCAAAGTGTGCCGTGGCATTAAATGTCAATGATGTCATCGCAGCCTTGAGATTTCAAAAAGAGACTGGCTATTTATTTGCTGCTAGTTTCGTCACGCCTGCCTGGTATCCATCTCTAAGTAATTGTCAAGCTGCAAACGATAATTGCTCCAGAAAATCCTTCTGCCAAACAATGAATCGACTCTGCGAGCCATTCTGTGCAGTTTTCAGGTGCTTTTGGCAGAAAAAAAGTCATCTGCCAGAGACAAACACCCTCCCGGCAGAAAAAAAAAACACCTCCCGGCAGAAAAAAACACCTCCCGGCAGAAAAAGCCATGCCGGCTTTCGGAACTGCAGAGTTCGAGGGCTTCTGCAGAGTGCACGCCAGCCTGCTTCAGGAAAAAAAGTGTTTCTGCGGACTCAAAAAGGGCGTTTCTGCAGAGTTTTTCATTCCCAGTGGAGTCATTGAAATTCGCTCCGATCGCGATCTTCGGTACGAGTGGTCTATCGGCAACACGAAGAGAGTAACTCAAGGTATCACGAGACGACACAGAGGTCAATTTGCTTGGTTGAAAGTGTTACCAGTGGATCCGCCATCCTTTGTTTAGTCAGTGGGTAGCTCACCTTGGATTCTGGAAGCTTTTGTGGGGAGATTCATTGGACCCAAGTTGACTGGCTCCACAGTGGCAAAAGCACCACAAACCAAGCCAATTCCCAGCACCACAGCAATTCAGGAAGCAGGTTCCAGCCCTTGTCCCTGGTCTACCTTATTCCATCACAGGCAAATTGAATTTCCTAGCCCCATACTATAAGGTCCCAGGAAGTCCCCTTTGTGTTTTCCCAGCTACAGTTGAGTCAGCCTTTATTCCACTGCCACAAGAGCTGAAACCCAGCGTCCCCAGTACAACCAGCACACACCTCTTCTTTGTCAGCAACAAGAGGCACCATGTCTTTCTACAGTTTCACCAGCAATGTGAGTGACCCTTATGCCCCTGGCTACTCCGACCGTGGCTGGCACTACGTCTACTCTGGTCCCCAAGTCCAAGGTAGCTACACCTGTGCCCGCCCCACACACCACGATGGAGCTGGCAACAGCAACCTAGCCTACCGCCACCGGCATCGAGATACACAGCCACCAGTGTCACCACCACATGAATACAAATCCGTCTTTGACATTCTTGAGAAGACACCGGCACCACCTGTGTCAACAGTGTTCCCACCAGACACATACAAATCACCCTTCCACATCATTGAGAAGAGGCCGGCACCAATGGCCTATGGTAGGACCAACCACCAGCTGGGTGATGGGGAGATTTCAGAGCTGTCTCCCAACAGCTCCAGTTGTCACCCAGATGTCATTTATACCCCAGCCATGGAAGACATGCTGATCCACTTTCAACAGCAACAGGCCACCGTTGCTCGACAACTCGACCTCATGAGAGCTTATCACGAATCATTCAAGCAAGACATGAGAGCTGACCACGAAACCTTCAAACGAAAGATGGAAGCTTAGTTCATCGCCCTGAAGGACCAACTGACAGCTCAACTGGACGCCTTGGTCGTGGTAGCTGCTAGGCCACCTGTCACAGTACCTACACCTGCTTTGACACCACCAGTTCATGGGGAGACCAATGCCACTCCACTGTCAGTCATGGGCAGTGATGATGGCGTCCACAAGCCGACTGGTGACAGCGCTATTGGTCACCAACGGCTCCACAGCCCAAAGAAGCAGCAGCGCCACAGGGCTACTCGTTCCATGCAAGATGCCACTGCCATCCAGCAACGATTGACTGATGCCCTCTTGGCCACCAACCAGCTGCCCACCAATGTAGCCACGGCTCCATCTCCCAAGCTAGCTCGTGGGGAGTTGCCTGTCACACGACCCCTGCGCGTCCCAGCTACGAGCCACCAGCTGCCCAGTGCCACACCCTTGAATGCCCTCGCTGGTGCCCATCCATCGTTGGATGATGGGGAGATTATCGAGCTTGCCAGCCCTAATAGTCATCCAACCTCTGGGGAGATCATGATGGCAAAACCTCCAGCCAGCAAGCAACCAGCTTCGAGAGCTGGCGCCAACAACATTCCAGTTGCACAACCAAATAGACCAAGTGTGGCTCCCACTCAGTCAGCTCTACAACCAAGAGCACAAGAGCAGACCCACACAGTGGTGACCCCCAAGCAACCTGCTCCAAGGCACAGAGCACACAAGGGTCCCACCACAACCAACATTCGCAGGAGACCTAGTGGTCCATCACCCACAGTGACACCCAAGGTTCCCAGCCTGGTCCCCACAGAACCCCCAACCTATGGCACAGCCAATGCCTCAAGACTCGTACCCAATGAGGTCCCGTTGTCTTTGGATAGGACCAGCCTTGGTCCAACCATCACCAGTCCATTTGCCAGGAGGCCCACCAAGCAGATACCCTCTGCTCTTGGTGGAATCCATGGGGAGCAACCACAGCAAGCACCTTTGACCAAGGCAGCTTTGGTGTCTCCTACCCAGGAGCTGACTGCCATGGTGTCGCCTTCCCAGAAGCTGACCGCCACCATGCTTTCTACCCCAAAGCTGGCTGCCATGGCATTAGTGCATGGCAATGGACCAATCCCGGTGACGCCCCTGGATTTTCGGACGGGCAACTAGACTACGTCCCTGTCTGGTACAGCCCATCCATCCCATCCGTCAAGGGACATGATTGCGGGGCAAGAAGGCCGCTCCACTGAGAGCTTGCCACCGCTGAATTCGGCCTGTGGCAAAGCCACAATATTTGTCTACATATGAAGAGAACAAACAACAGCTATGATAGCAACCAGCACTGCCGACACCTTCTAAGTCTGGCGATGCTGATGGACCAGGCAACTACTTGCCTACCTTTGGTCGAGTCCCTGACCAACCATACATGTCCCTCCACTTGTGAGATTCCAGATCTCACGTTGTGTTCCACTAGCAGCCGATGCTGAGTGGCCCATGAATGTTTCGTTCGTGGGGAGAGTTTGTAGATAGTTAGTTAGTAACTAGTCGTGTATTGTGGCATTCCCATGAGAGCGGATCCATACGCACTCGTGGGGAGCGATAACTTTTAGGAGCGAGAGCTCTGGATCCCGTCAGAGATAGCTCCAACAGCTATGCTGGCCTACAGCTCCAGCACCCACAGCTGGCTTATCTCCAGCCAAAGCAGCAAGAAAGGATCGTCCTTTCCATCATAGTTAAGAAAATAGTACGAAAGATTGAGACCGATCCTGATTAGCTTGTAGCCCCTTTGATACCGCAGCAGTTGATTCCTATCCTGTTGAGGCCGGGTAGAAGCAGTACTAGGAGGTAGCAGATAGTACTATTCCCAGACTGCCACTGCACGATTGAATAACGAAGGCCTCCAGCTCCTGAGGAGAGCTGGCCCAAAAGGGCCCAGCAGAGAGCTCTGCTGGCCCTCCTGTCTGACTGACAGGGCCAAGTCCTTGGCTTGGGTGCCTACTGGAGGTGTTGGATACTCCTGAGGCACGACAAGGCTCCCTGAACTGCCTGACTACCGCTGTACCTGAGGAAGGGTTTCACCGATGCCTGGAACTGTCCCAAGAATGACAACAATTTTGGTGTCGTCCACGCAGCTTTACTGCTACAATCACAACCAGTGACAACAATTGCTACAATGACAATGGCACCGCCATCATGACGCTACATGACAACATTTTTGGTACCGCCCACGCTGCTACTACTCGGGCGGGTGACCACTGTGCACACGACAAATCACGCCCCAACGACAAACACGGTGACACAGTTCTCATTCCACCTTCAGCGAGCCGAAAGCCTACAATCCTCGTCTTGACAGAGCAGAATCCTGTCCTCGAAAAGAAGCCACATCACATCGCTGCTGACAACAATAATCCGTTCGGTCTCATCATTACCAACACCCGTGGCAAACCCGACAACTTACCCCGCAACAGCGCCTGCTACAATAATAGCGCAAGATCCACTCATGACGACAACCACAGCAGCCGGTCTGCTCAGCTTGCGCTTGCTATCAATGTGTCTGGTATGCCCTCTACCGCAGAGTTTGCCTGCCAAAAAAGGGGAGATCATGGCAAGCTCATGCTCGACAAAACAGCGCCGTCGACAATTCTCACCGCTTCCATGCTGCTCCTACTACTGTTGCAAAATGATATACCAAGTCTGCTCCACCTGCCAATACAGTCAAAAACAATGTCAGCATTATCTTTGCCGACGACACTGTGAAAGAGCTCAGCAACAGAAAACCAACAGTCTCCTTCACGACGTGTGTTACAGATGCGACACCATCTACGTATGCCTACATGTCACCATTGGTCGCATATGACAAACAACCACCCACTTCAACTTTTCTCGTCTCAAACAACAACAATTAGTTTAGTCACGCCCGTGTTAAAGACAAGAACGTCTGCTACGAGAACGATGGTGAACGCGACAACTAGTAGTTGCAATCACCAAGGCGCAACTGAGCCCGACAATGTACAAAAACACCTCTCTGATTGCCAACAGCGTGAAAGTGGCATCCTCCGGCCATGGAAAGCCCACAGTTTTCCACAAGCAGCCGCCTAACAAGTCCAGTTGTTGCTATGAAGTGAGTAAACCCATTTTGGTTGCCAGCGTCGCCTACCGGTACACCAGCTCAGCTTTAACTGCTGATACCTCAAAGGACTCCGTCTTTGACCTTACCAATGACGCCGACAACCTCGTTTTGGCTATCAACAATGATGCTAACAGTATCACCATTGCCGACGACCATGAGCAAACTTTGGTCTACGACAACAACCAGAAGAGCTGTAAACCACGGCGAATGATCTGCCCTTCTACCAACGTCTGTGAGCTAATTTCTCCCTTAGCATGTGCCCGTGCCAGCCGCTCTTCCTTGGCCGTCGATACCTACATGAAAGCCTCTTTTCTCGTCGACAAGCCCAACACCCAATACAACAACGATGTGACAACCACCATGTTTGAAAGCATGCTGGCTATCGACGTCTACAACAGAAAGAAGCCATCTTTGAGTTTCAAAGATGGCAGCTTGAAAGAGCCACTTTCCAACCATGGAACTACAGCAATAACTGCCTCCTCCTCCACCTCCACGGAGCCATCTTTTATATCTTTGACTCCAATCCCGACAACCAACTGCTCCTCTTTGGAGCCAACACAATGAAAATAGGGGAGCCAGCAAACTCCCTCACCACCAATGACAAGATTGCCATCATTTTGTCCTCCCACAAGCCGCCTTCTACCTTCTTTTGGTCACCCTTCCATGCTGACACTTGGGATTTAGGGGAGCAACCTCATCAAAACCAGGAGCACACAACCCTCTTCCCTGACAGTCAATCATTAGTCAGCAAGGGGAGCACAATTCCACCACATTTGCCAATTCAATCTACTTTGGAGTCACGATCCTCATTCAGGGGGGTGATAAACGGGCAATTTCAGTCGTGCCTCTTACCCTATTTTGGCCTGTTTCACAGCTTTCCTGCGTTATTATTGCTTTTACAGCTATGCAGACTTTTAGCTAGTTTTGTAAAGAGCAGCAATGCTCATAGTTTTCTTCTTTATCGTTTGCCTTTGCACGTCTTCAACGGGCCTAGACGAAGCTAACCACGCACGCTACGACGCCAACCTTTAGAAGGGAGACCCCCTCGAAGTACTTGTACTTTAGCACAAGCCATGGAACTTGACGCACAAAAACCGAGTCACTCCTCCAATGCAGTGAATCTCCCTCCTTTGATTCGCAAGGTTCTTTATAAATTCACAGCAGACGACTTTGTGGTTAGACTCGAGTCAATTGCTCATAAATTGATACCTAGTTACCAGTAGCTAGGACCAGCATACGTCACCCGTGGTCCAGGATGACCACCCTGCACCACCTAGCTAGGGCCAAAGCACCTCCTTCACAGCCCCCTGAAAGCTTTTTCAGCCACCCCGCCAGTCATTTTGAAGGGCACAACAGGCAAAATGCAATGTGGTTCCTCAAATCACTACAGTACTAGAACCCCTACCAGCCAGGATCTAACTCCAAATAATAATATGATGAAAACAAAACAGGCATATATGTGGGCACCCCAAGGGTAGTAAATTCGGCTTTCCGTCCACAATACACACGTGGGTTGGCGCCCCCAGAGGGACCTCTTGTATGGTCGAATCTTCGCGGGCCCGAACTTGAGTCTTTGTACCATTCGTGCGATGTATCCTTATCTCTAATGATTGTTTCCATGTCACCTTTTTGGATCTTGCCGTATCTTTTGATCGCGCAACCCACGAACTCCTGGAGCACAATTATTGAGACAACAAGCAACAAACAACTACTACTAGTACCGTAATACAGTAATAGAAGCAAGCAATAAGATGACATCCACAGAAGGAGAAGAGAGCGTAGTAGAGAAACGCGTGACGACCGCCGATGGCAAAGTGGAACGTCACGTGACGACGACGAGTACCAAGATGGTGGATGGCAAGAAAGTCATTACCACAACAACGGTAGTCGAGGAAGAATCATCGCAAGAAAGAGGACGAGGACGATCCGTCGGAGGAGTGCTTCGCAAGATTGGCCGCAGTCTCAGCAAAAAGGCAAGAGCTCGATCTCGCAGTCAAAAGCGAGGAGGTGATGAAACAGCAGTCGATAAAGAAAAAGCCGCCAAAAAAGCAGAAAAAGAAAAGAAAAAAGCCGAAAAGAAGGCGGAAAAAGAAGCCAGAAAAGCTGCCAAAAAGGAAGGCAGAATTTACATCAACAAAGACGGAAAAAAGGTCCGAAGAGTCCGAAAAACCGATAAAGAACCGGAAAAGGAACCAAAGTCAACCAATGCTACCAAGACAACCTCTTCAGCTTCATCATCAGCTTTAGCTAGCAATGCCAATGCGACCAAGGAGAATGCTCCAATTACAGTTACAGAAGACACCAGCAACATGCCAGAATGGAAAAAGAAGGCAGTTCAAGCAGTCATTCAAAGAGCTCCTGCGCAACCTCTGGTGGTACAAAACTCGGTTGAAAAGGCAGCCAATACGGGAAAAACTCCAGAATGGCGTATTCAAGCAGCTGCAGCAGTGGCCAATCGAGCTCCTTCTCAGCCACTGGTCGTGCAACAATCCGTCTCACAAGCCAACAATCCAGACAGTGTGGCTGCGTGGAAGAAAAAGGCAGAAGAAGCCTGCAATGTTGCCAATGTCAAAAAGAATGAACAATTGCCTACGCACACGTCCACTGCCACAACCACAACAACTATCCCTACTACTACTACTACAAGTGCTACTATTAATAGCAAAACCACGGTAGTACCGGAATGGAAACGAAAACTACTCGAAACCAAAAAACAAAAACTGGCAGAACTGGAACGGCTCAAAGCTGAAATGGCAGCTTACAAGGCACCACCTGCACCTGCTCCGCCACCAACAAAAAAGAAGGAAGTTGTGGAAGAAGAAATCATTTACGAATACATTGACACAGATGATGACGATGATGATGATGATGACGATGAATACTACGAAGAAGAAATCATTGAAGAAGAAATCATTGAATAGTACGAATAGTACATGTAGATAGCTAGTAAGTAGCTAGACTGGCATACATAGAGGGAAGCAATAATAAATATCAATAGCATGTTTGTACTGGTAGCGGCTGACTGCACATTGGTACGGTTTGCCTTTAGAAAACGTTGCCTCGACACTACTCTACTGTGAAACTTCTTCGACAATACGTGCATGATGATGACACGTTTCCCAGTGCTTTTGCAGCCTTCCTTCCTGCACATAGATGGATCCTCTGGGAAACGTGTTGTCTCGCGGCGGTTCCTTTGGGCGGGATGGTATTGGTTCGGCCGTCCTATCATAGTTCTTTTGCCTTTCAGCCAGTGCATGCTCGTTGCATACGTATGCCATACTGGTACTGTAATGTAATGTACGAGCAAAACTGTGCCGCCTCAAACCCTTCTCTCTTCCTCGTACTCTAGAGTACTAGTGCTGCAGGTCTGGATAAATGGCACCCTTCACCTTCACCTTCAATTTTATTTTTATTTCGTTCATGAAGGCTTACAAGGCTCCTGCGCAATGGCGACGTTTTCACTCGAAATTGACACTCGTGATTCCATTCCTTCATTTTTCAGTCACAATCGCAGCGCAATGTAGTGCACCTTTGCATGATGAGGCTGAGGTAATCAAATCACGAGATTCCCCCTTTTTGGAGTAATTCTTTCTGACCGGCACGATTTGTGAGAAGCAGCTTTCGGGGCACACAGCTTCGGAGCACCCAACCAAACTTTTCCTGCAACCCTCAAGATTTCTGGGCCAGCCAGCTTTCCGAGCACCCTCATAAATTCCACTCTCAGCTCAGCGACACGGGCATCGGTTTGGCCTGCCATGGCATGGTCCGTCAAGCTATTCGGGACCTTGCAGAGTCGAGTCCACCCCGACCGCAGCAACGCGCGTGTGCCATGGTCGCTCCGTGAAAGAGGCTCCGTGGAAGGAGGAATAAGAACCGTGTGTTGTCAACCGTGGTTGTGCAACAAAGGCCGTATCCACAGCTGCAACACCATGTTCCCACATTCTGAGACAAAGTCAGTTCCATAAATCCACCAAGGAAAGAACGCGAAAGCTATGCCCTTTTCTCTCTACACTCCACGATGGCCGAAGCGACCAAGGCAGCGGTTGCAGATGGGCGATGGGACGAACCGACCGACATAATGATGTTGTTTCTTGTCATCGTCGATGATGAGTGATTCCAATGCCATGATCTCTCTCCGACTTGACGACTGACTCTCCGACAGTGTCGATATTCAACCGTCGAAACTGCGAAAGCTATGCCCTTTTTCCTCCTCACTGCCTGCTGCCTTCTTGCTCCTTGCTTCGTGTTGGCAGCGCCATAGCATGGTGCAGCAATCGTTGTCTTCTTCTAGCACAGACGCTTACAATGGTGTCATTCTCTGGTGCTGCCTTGTTGTATTGACTTGCCCAACTACGGCACCATCACATGCACCTGATACTAGTAGATTCGATTCAATTTTTAGTTTCGTTCATGATCATGATGTGTTACTCTTCGTTTGCTTGCTCTTGCTTCCAGATAGCACTTCGTACTCGAACAGGTAACTACTATGGCATAGCTAGATTCTTTGCTCTTGAACCGTTGCTTTTACTGGTTGGGCTATGCACCGTCATCCTTGCTGCTTCCTCGAACACTGCCAAGTTTGCTGTTGCTACTGCTACTGCCACTGCCATGGCCGAAATCATCCTTATCGCGGCTTCCACTGTTGCCACCGCCGCCACCACCAGAACTACCTGCATCGTGCTTGTTTGCACTTCCATCTGCCACCACCACATAATACACAATGCCGCCCACCAAAGCGAAACAGATCAGGCAGCTCACCAATAGACACAGCCACAGCCAGCGTTTGTTCACCATCACATGAGAGGAGGAATCACTCTTGTGGTTCATGACCTTGTCACCACTCACCATGACACCACCATGCTGGCTAATACTACTACTAATAGGAATAGGCTCTTGCACATTGTCGCTGACAACTGCTGACGTAGATAACCTTTGCAGCACACCCACGTCTAGTGGAGATGCATACACCAACTCGGGTTCGTGCGTCACAGAGGGTGGTAGTACCAAAGAACTACTAGTTGACAACGGCGGGACGAGACTGGCACAAGGAATCACATACAATGAATCTGCATGGCTTCTGGATCCAAGGCTGACAGCAGAAGAAGAAGACTCTTGACTGCCCAAAGGTGCCACATGGAACGCACCGGGTTGAGACGAACGTGGCCCTCGTGCTAGTCTCGGTGGTGGTACCGGAGGCATGGAGCTGGTATCCGATGCCGAACGACAGGGATGAGGACGTGTGACGAGGTCGTTGTTGTGATCTCGTTGCTTGTCGTTCGCTTCCAGCGTATCGTCCTGTTTGGCAGTCTTGTCATCCTTCTCGGTTGTGTCATTGCCAATGCCATCCCCATCAATAATTTTGTCACGAGAAGCACCATTTGGAGATGCTTCATTTTGACTGCTTCCACCCTTCCTTCTCATCTTCAGTGTACTTCTGGTACGGTTACGGATTGGAACCTAGATCTAGATTTGGGACTGAAGAAGCAAGAAAATGTGTCGTGCCCAATTTGTGGCTGTTCTAGCTAGCTAGTACAGTATCGTACTTTCTGCTGCTCTACTTGTGGCTGCCACTTCACTGGTCACCATAAAGTAACTTGCCAATCAACACCCTTAGAGTCATCTCCCCTGCTGTGAGCTATTTTATCGCGTTCGTGCTGTTACTGGTTCCACAACAACTAACTAATAACTGATCGTGCCAAATCTACTCCCACAAAGACAGCCTTAACCCTACCGTAACGGTACTCGGGAACTAATGACATCACCGAGCTCAAAGGCGTAACCCGCAACATCTCTCTTGGAGGTGTTATGGAAATGCTGAAAGGGCCGAGACCATGGAAGTCCTTGGGACGCATATCATACATGTAGACCATTGAGAAATAAACGAAGCTAAGGCGGAGCAATTACTCCGAGTAACAATTACTCCGAGTAATAGAAGAAAGATTTGGCTCGAGACCTACCGGATTCCAGCAGATTCATTCGAATGATTCGCCCGGAGATTGCCCGTACCGGTAGGCCTCGAGCGACGATTCCATTCATTCTTTGGCCTCACGCTCTCTTCTACATGCCTATCTAGCTACAAGTAGCAGCCACTGGTAGATAGTATTTGAAATGGATTCTTGGTCCTGGGCTTAGATCCGATTCATGTCCGGCTCATCGAATAACTCAATCGAATATTTTAAGATGGGGGCACGAACCGAGGAACCGATCTCTCGGATTTGACAAGGAAGTTTCTCTCGGATCCATTATCATCATCGTGGACAATCCTCGACGGAAGGTCCTTCTGCAGTAAAGCTTCTACTGTACGTTTCGGGCGTGGTGTTATTGCTCGATTGAATCCAACCATCCAAATCGTGCAATCACACGTTGAGGTACGTAAACTGCTCGCCTTCCACATGATCCAAGAATCCTTCGCTTAGCGAACTGATTAGCCAATCTGATACTGTACCGTACGGTACTGTACTGTCAAAGGGGTTCGATGATGCAGCATGATGGAAACTGTCGGAAGATGTCGCGAAGGAAGGATTTCGGCAGATCTGAGTCCCATCGAAGTTTTCGAAACGAAGGAGCGTGGTCCGTTTTTCAGCGTGGAGTGCAGCGTGGACAAAGGAAGGAGTCGACGAGACACTCTCTCCTCTCACAAATTACAAAACACAAAACTATGAATCGATATTCTTTCTTTTGCGCTACCATGTTGTTGACGTTGTTGTTGTTGTTGGTGGGGCTATGCTTTATGACTCTTCGGGATGGGACCATGATGATGGAAGTGATGGAAAATGTGGACTTGATTATTCGAAAGATGATTGTACCAAGGCTGTTGGAGAGAGATGGTGTGCCAAGGTCCGTCAAGGACGCCCTGACACTTTGCAATATATGGGAGCCGGTTGTCTTTTTTGGAGAGACCTTTAAAAAGGGTTTCTTTTATGACTGCATGCTCAACTCCCCTCAGGTTCACAAGGCTGCGATTGAGCTACTCTTTCGCAACCATGTGCCTTTGTCGGTTTGCCCTGGCGCTCCCGGCAAATTCTGGCCTTGCATCTATAATGCATGGTGTGAAACGCACTGTGGCCACCCTTGGGACAGCATTCCTGGCAATGCGACTCGTTTGGAGTATGTGGCATGTATTGCGGCGAAAGCTCCCTATACTGCCGAGGTCTACCACGCATCTGCGGAGTTCCACTTGACTGTCCTCTCGGTTTGGTGGAATTCAGTTGTGTCACATGCGCATGCAGTGGCGCCAGATGTGATTGAAAACTTGGTCTGGCTGGTCTCTGCCTATGGGTTCCTCTGGTTGTTTCAGGCTCACGGACTGTTCCACTGGATCTGGGATTGCTATGTCAGTTCACTGCACCCCTTTGTCGTGATCTGGATGCTCATTTGTGAGATCTGGATGCTCCTTTGTCGCTGGCGCGAGATTTCGGTCTGGGCTCGGGAAGGAGTGGCGCTTGGGTGGAACTGGATTCAAGGAAGAGTGTCCATTTGGAAAAGCTGGATTCAGGGAAGATTGTCCTTTGGGCGGATCTGGATTCAGGCAAGACTGACAAGCTGGAGGACCTGGGTACAGCCCATCATTGGTCGGGCATGGATGTCGACTCAGGCTTGGAGCACACAGGTGTTCGAACGCTGCTGGCAACGGCAGCAGACAGCCGCGGCAAATGACATGCCCAACCCTCTCACCACCTTGGACTATGATCAGGAACACATTTTCTATCTTGGAAACTTCAATCGGCCCCTGAACTGAGTTTGAGAAGCATAGCAACAACAACACAACAACAACAACAACGCAACAACATACCCCCAAAACCAATCCGTGGTACACTGATATTGAGGCAGAGTCCAACATCGACAGCACCGACACAGGATAAGCCTGTCAATGGTGGCGGGTTCTGCTTCAAGTTTCTGTGATGCTCTGCTCCCAAGGACTTGCAAAAGTATGGAAACATCTCCCCATGCTCCCGGAAGCATGTACCTTCCCCAGTTTCTGGAAAGGCGCCGGAGTCTTGGTGAGCATCCAGAAGTCAGTGTTGGAGTGTTCCATTGCGGAACCACGAGGGCCTCGAACTGGGTAACTATGGCTGTTTCGTTCAATCGCGTGCACCTTGCTGTTCTCTTGTCATGTACTAACCTCTGCCTGCTGTTCATTATTGGGTGACGTCGAGTTCCCGTGTTTTGTTTCCCAAGCTGGCTTCCCAAGCAGCTGGATTCAAGCACCTGTGTCTATTGGCAAGGCACAGACCTCCCCGTGGTGTCACCTGGGAACTTCATCATTACATTGCCAGATGAAGGCTAGGAGGAACTCTTGTTTGGATTGTTGGTTGTGGTCAAAAGGTACAGTATCTAGCAGTAAGCCATTTTAAAACTAAACGATTCTAAGCATCAAAGCAAGCGACATTACAACGTTCTGACATTCATGGAAGTGGCATTGGTTCTTGCTGCTGCATCACGGCATTCCTTCCTGCCGAGAAGCTCTTGTTCACGGACGTGCCTGTTGGTCAGTCAATCACGGACTCCTTTGGTGATTGGCGAGAACCTGAAATGGATGTCATGCGAATGGGAAGACCAACAAATTGACAAGGTCCCAAAAATGTAGCAGCCTATTTAGTATTGGCATTGTTGAGCAGCCTACACTTCTCATTAATTTGATGCAAAGGCATAGATAGATTGGCAAACTGAAGGTGTCTCGTGTTTTTCTGGTTAGTGTAAGCTCTGTGAATGTAGCCAACGTCGAACAGGGCCCTGCTTCAGTTGAGGCAGCTGGAGCCCATGACAACAGCCATCAATTTAAGGTGACGAAGGATCTGGACATGGTGTTGACATCTGGGTGCCTTCTTCTGAGCCCAGTGCTTTCTTTGGAGTACCAGAGGCCCAGACGTGTTCTCAGCAGCAGCGAGAGCGTGCATGAAAATGACAATGACGATTGTATCTGGTAGTAGCACCATGGAGGTGAGCTCGATTGAGAGCCTTGGCACAACCAAAGGTGCTGCTCAAGTTTGCTGATTCCAAGTTGTTTTGATGAAGTAGACTACTCTATCCGTGGTTGTTCATCCGCAGTCCACGACCCTGCTGGTTCTGGCCGCCCTTCTTGTCATCGGTTGGACAAGACCACACGTCGCAGTCGCACGTGGCGTCGAAAGAAAGAAACAAGTCGTCGGCGGATGGATCTTGGGGAAGAAACCGCCAAAGCTTTCATTCGAGTTGTCGTATCCACCTTGGATGACACTGAAAGAGCCAGGCAAAGCCAAGACGAGCCAAGCCAAGATGGAAGCAGTGAGGCCAAAACGTCTTCGATGGGTCTGGCTTAGATGATTGAATCAAAGGATGCTGATGACCCTCTACAAATCTAATGTATCAGGATAGAAGCAGTAGCAAGCAATGCTGATGGCTGGATGCTGCTTGCGTCATCTTGTTGAATAGCGACTTGAGTAGCAGAGTGACGAGTGAACCTGCATATTGTGATTTCTCTCTACCGAGGCAATATCCATAGTGTATAGGTATCAGGACGTGACAGGTGACAGAATATCCATTTGCTTCGGGAAACCAAGCGTCTATTGCCTCTTCTGGGATTTTTGGATGGCCAACGAGCTGCCTGCAATACTGTCCTACCGTACGTCCCGGAACTACTAACTACTGGTAGGTCCAGGATATCGCAGCGGTTCACAACTGTAGGCTGTACCTGAGTGCAGCACTGATTACATACAGCACAAGGTATCCCTGAACACAACAGAAGCTGTATACCGGTACTATGAGACATGCACTTTTATTGATTGGTTCTTGCATTGACCCTGATACAGTAGTAGTAGTAACTGTAGCAGCAGGAGGAGCAAAGCACAGGACATGAAAAACAAGACCAAGATTGCCCCCGCAATGGTCCTCAATTCTTGCCCCTGATCCCACGGAACCCAGTCCTGAATTTCAACTCTTCTCTGCCTGGCCCTCTCTGGCTTCCGCAGATAGTCCACCCACTCTAAACCCCCGTCAAAAGACAAAGAGCACTCACCGTCGATCATCGATTTGAGCCTTTGTCATGGTCTTTGTGAGTGGTACAACTTTGTTGGGTGCCCCGATGCAATGGTGCTCTTCTGCAAAATTGTGAGCGAAGCTGAACGAGCAAGCCTGGTTCAAAAAGTCAAAAAGAGCAACAGAGCTGGTTGGAAACTACTAATAGAGGTTGGGGTCCAATCCCAACACACAACCCGTACCTGGGGTACTAGCTAGTATGTTGTCGCACTCCTGCTGGTTCGATTCGTTCTGATTCGTCCATTGCTTTGTACATCATTCGAAATTGGTTAAACTAATAGTGATTTCTGTTCTGCTCTGTTCTAGTACCTTACTCCTTGTTGTCATCACACAAGAAAGTGGTCCCGATTTTTCCGCAGTAGTAACGATCATGATGCTGACTGAGCCTGAAGCAACCAAGTCCATGCAGAAACTTGCGAAGGCGTGTCACCTTGCCGTCGCTCTCGACCCGATAGAATTTGAGGGTTTGAAGATTGTCTTGTTCAATTCATTCATTGGATTAAGCTCCATGGTGCAATATCATATCACTGGGAACGGAGGACGTGTGCAAAGGCAGCTGCCACCATGGATGTCGCTCATGCATTGAAGCAAGAGGCAACCTCAGGGTCGCCTCCGAGTACCAGTCCGTAACCAGTCTTCTGGCTGGTAGCTGGGAGGTCCAGAGAGACACCGCCGACACCTACCTGTACGGTACGGGTACTAGTACACGTATTAATAGGGAGTTGTACGGTATTTTACAGTAATGAATAAGTCATTTCAGTACCGTTTCAAATTGAGTCCCGCGAAAACGACGCTGCGACGTCGCTGCGACGTCGCTGCGTCACTGCGTCGCGACGCTGCGTCGCTTTCGTGGGACTAAAATCGAATCGAATCGTGACTGCCGTGCTATGTCCCTACTCTAAATCCACAGTCAAATAGACTTACCTGAGTTCGTGCCGGTACCGCCCGGATGTACGGTACCTTTGGGAGGACCGCTGACAGAGAGCGTGGGAGCGTGGGAAAATCGAACGTGGACAATAATCGTGGACGTATTGCCTCAGCTTCAGTGCCTCAGGACGAAACAACGACGATGTGGGCTTTTGCTGCGCATGGTGTTGACTGAGTGTGGTTGGCATGCTGTGGCCCGCAAGAATTGAGCTCTGAATTTCCATAGCCACATGGAACGCCTTTTGCTGCTGTTATTGAACCGTACAAACCAAGGACAACCATGACGCTATTCGCTATGGTTGCTTCTTGTTACGGTGTCGGCTCTTGGTATCGACTGTCACTCCCCACAGACGTACCGCTGTGGTTACCTGTTGCAGTTTGATATCTAGCTCCCCTTGTTCCAGTTGACAATGACTCTCCGTCGTGTCGCTCCTTCCCGATTGACTCTCCGAGTCAATACTCTCTTGTGAGGTTGTTTCTCGCGACATTGTCGACACGATGACTGTGTTCCGCAGTGCAAAAGTATTTCTCTTCGTGGCAACCTATAGCGCAACTCCTGTAGTTGTTTTCGTATGAGTAGTTGTATGATGGCGGTTTCCGCAGCACAAAATCTTAAAATCTTTGCGTTTCCTGCTCAATCGTGTGAGCTGGGTGCCCGCTCCGGGGATCACTCCTGGAGACTTCATGATATTGCTTCCTTGTAGCAGATCTCTGCAATGGTGTTAGATACGATCACTGTGTCAGTTTCATTGGCGGGAACTGGCTGAAAAAGGCACCATCACAAAATCGTGGAGATCTTTTTTGCTCGGCCAGGATCTACACAACGAATCGAATCAATGGATCAACAAGACGACAAAATCAGTGCAATGTAAGCATACCGGTGGAACGAAGAGCCTTATGCGCAACAGATCGATACTAACTAAGAACAAGGTCAACAAACCGAAACTGAAGGAGTAATGGACCAGCACGTAACTCATGGATTCGATTCGGCAAGCAAAAGCCGGTTGACCCCGTGGACTTGATCTGCAGCACTGAATCACCGAGTAGAAGTGATTCCAGCCCATGAAACTCACCAAGTTAACTCATCTAGCGCTACTACCAAAATCTGCAGAAGCAGAAGCACTTTGAGTGGACCACAGAGGAAGATCGACCATTTTCTGTACGATTCCAAGATATCTTCTCGAATTTGCCACGGGACCATGGAAAGGACCAATCAAGCTGCACCAAGACTGGAGCAGACAGAGATATACCTAAAGAGGCTACCTGATCAACCATGTATTGCCAAGGTAACCCACATGTCTTCGTTCGAATCGCCCCCCTGGTGATTGCTGCCTTTGCTGTCGTCACCTTAGAACAACACCTTCTGCTTCGCTTGCCAAGGATTGTATTGCGACTCTCCATACCATAGTCGCAATCTGGTACCTCACGGGCTGGGCCATTGCCAGCAAAGGGTATGGCAATCTGGTTCAGGTTGATTGTAGCTTATTACCTATAATACTATACCAGCATTTGGAGATGACTGGGAAATGCAACAATGACAGCTGAGCTACAAACCATGTAGCACAGAAGCAGCTACATGCACAACAAATGAAAATGTAAACATAAAACTAAAAGTTGTGCAAATATAACTCATCATTCACCTTTTTTGTTCCACCAGGAAACATCTCCAGGCCTGTTGGATTTCTTTTGCTGTCAATCTTTGCAGTGCCTCAGATGTGTCATAAACTTTGATTGCCGTGAATGTGCCTAGTCCTCCTCTGCCAGAAGTAAGGATTTTATCAACTCCCTTGAGAATGGCTGCCATTTGCCTCTTGCAAATCCCACCATTGTTGCACGGTTGCTGCACATTTTGCAACCAGGCCTCTTTGATTTGTGTTGTTGTGACATGTCCGAGCGACCCAGAATTGTCTCAACCTTTGAACCTAAAGAAATCACAGTCGATTCCTCCTGCACAATACCTAAGGCAGTTGTCAATGCACCTGAGAATGGCAGCCAGTTGCACCCCACCAATTTCACCAGTGTTGCCTACCAAGGCTGTTGTTCTTCCATTCTTCTTGCCAAGATCTGATTTCTCATCCTTTAGTGTATTGTTGTTGCTGCTTGGATGGCGTTGGGTCCCATTGTAAAGGGCAGAATCTGCGATACTAGCCCCACTGGAAATGCCATTCATGATAGTAGCAGGAGCTTTGACTTTCTTGTTGGCTGTTCCTGGAGTACTTGCAACAAGAATACGCACAGCCAGGTCAGGGGAAGGCTTGGGAGAAATCACGGCTCCCTTCTTCTTGGGCCCTGTGGATAAACATGACATCTTCCTCTTTCTGGTGCACCTTCTTGTGTTTTTCCGAGGAGGAGCATCGGCATCAGAGTTCCATGCACTCTCATTTTCACTATCTGAGGACCATACAACCTTTTTTGGAGTGGTTCTTGCGTGTAACTTTCTCCTCTTTACAACGGGGGTGGAAATGACAGGAGGTGCTACAGCTGCTATTGTGGGGGATAGAATCTTTGGGAGATCTTTCTTGTAGTTCTTGTCATTGTAGAGCTTGCTGTGACATCTCCTACAGCTGGTAGGGAATGTGGAGGAGATATCACGGCAGTAACCATTTCTGCAACTTCTGGGGGGTCAATCTTCTTCTTGTCCTTGTTGTTGGCCCCATGTACTCCTCCAACATTGCTGTTGCCTTGCTGGATAGTGGCAATAAGAGGGTCAGCATGAGGGTTCCTAGCTGTGAAGATCCCAATTTTACTGAGCTTGGCCTTCTTCTCCGGGTCCAAAGACCCCTCCTTCAATTTCCTTTTTTGCGTGCTAACCCAGTCCCACAAAATTTTGTTTCCAGGTGGAATCAAATTCGAATTCTTGCAGCTCTTTGAAGTGGTCATCCCATGGGGGTGCTACTGGAGGATCAATTTTGGTCTTGTTGGATCCTCCAGCATTCAAGTTGGCAGAGTAACTCTTCCTGATTGAGGCAATAAGATGATTCACAGTGGGCTCACTGTTGTGTTCCTGGATGGCAGCAATTGGAGGATTAGTTGGTGGCTCCACAGGAGGCTGAGGAAGGAGCTCCGCAGCTGGCTCAGTAGGATGCTGAGGAGGGATCCGAGCTGGAGCAGAAAGGTTGGCTGGGGGGCGAGCCCGAGCAGGAGCAACACAGACCTCCACACGATGCTGAGGGGGGGCTGGAGCAGGGAGCTGAGCAGGAACCTGAGCAGAAACCTCAAGAGGGAGCTGAGCAGGGAGCTGAGCTGGAGGCTGAGCAGGAACCTGAGCTCCAGGCTGAGCAGGGAGCTGAGCTGGAAACTCAGGAGGGAGCTGAGTGGGAGCAGGAGGCTGAGCAGGAGGCTGGGTAGATGGAAATGCCCCAATTCCAAGGAGTCTGGCTAGTTTGTCCTGATCATCCTGATCATCCTTGAAACCATTATTCTTGTATTTGAGTTTTTGGTAATTAAACCAGTTGCGCAAACCTCCTCGTGGAATAATGAATGTCCCATTGGCTCGCCTGTTGCAACGTTGCAAGGCTTCACATTGGTCCTCCCAAGTGAGGGGGGCGGTATTGGACACACGACATACGTCTTGCATGAAATTTGGTCTCCCGGAAGCAATACTGGTATACCTGCAGCAGTGGCACCATATGCAATGGGCGAGCCATACGGGTAGGGTTGCTGCCGCGGCATGTTCATGTGGAACTGATTGTTGACTTGAAACTGATTGTTGACTTGCTGCACATGAAACTGATGCGGTTGATACTGATATGGGTGGGCCTGTGGCTGATACGGAAACTGGTGGGCCCGTGGCTGATACTGGAACTGGTGGGCATGTGTGGGCTGCGGTGGTTGAGCTGGGGGAATTCTCTCCACAAGTTGGCTAAAACACATATTGAGATTCGAAGGAGCCACAGTCTTGGCCTCAGTCAAAGCTACACCTCCAGTGTTAGCGTTAGCTGGAGGCACAGCTGCAGCAACCTGAGCCTCAACATCCACCACCACAGGAGGGCAACCATTGCTGGACTGCGACAATACCATTGTGGATTGATTAATCTAACGATCTAAGAGATGTAAAGTTTGTATTTCCAAATAAGTGAGCAGTTATTGATTATTTTCTAGAATAGGCCCGCAATTTATAAAGCTGTAAAGCTGAATTGTAAGCTGTATCCCGTCGCATGGACTGCCCATGGCACTGATGCCCAGGACGATCAGAGCCTTGCTTTCCCATGTTCCCCGTCGACATGGCTAGCAGCTAGATACATGCACAAGGAATCAACAGAATGCCTGATGTGTTGCATGGGATCCATGGTTTTGCTGCTGGATTTTTAGAAAGCACGGAGCTGCTGTATCCTACTAATAGGGTTCCGGTACCAGACTGGTACTTGTGCGTCATGCAATGGAGTCTCGGTTCTGATACTATAGCCCGCGCGCACCGTGGGGATCCATGTACCAAAACGCTCTTAAATTAAAATTTCCCTATCCTTGATCTTGCCATCGTTTTGGCCATAACATGTTCGGATATATCCGCTCCTATTACGGGGCTCAGCCCAAGCCTTGCGTGAAGTTGGATCTAGCTACCGGTACCAACTCCACCACCCTTGGTCTTGCTTGGAGCCAGGTCGACGCATTCTGTTTGAAAGCTGGCATCTATTTGGGTGATCCTGGCTATACCTACCGGTACCGGTACCAACCAGACTGACTCGATTGGGCTCAATTGATTTTCGAGCGGATCCACGAGACACACAATCGCACAATTCCAACCAGGCATCTTTGACGACAACAGATTCGGAATACCTTGAATGCTCGTACTGTCGACGCTGATGCGGTGGAGGAGCTTGCCTCCAAACTGTCAAAGACTATAGTGCTAGGCGACGGCAAAGCATCGACAGTTCCACCTCCTCGCATCACTGACGCCAAGAGCCTTGACCGTCATATTGGAACCATTTGTCAATCTCTCTTTGATCAGCTCTCGTCAAAACAGCTGGAGGCGACGTATCAAAGATGCTTGGCGGTCGATTTGAAGCGTGCAGGAATTGAAGCTCTTTTCAAGAGGTCGAAATCAACTGGAATACAAGGGCCATGCCGTTGCCACGAGACGAGCCGACATTGTTCTGCAGACTGCGTCTGATAGACATTGTGCCATTTTGGAGTTGAAGGCTGTGAATAGTCTTACTAACGATCATCTGAAGCAGCTTCAGTTTTACATACACCACCTGAACATGGATACTGGGTACCTTATCAACTTCCCGCATGACACTGGTTTTCCCGATCTTCCACCTGATGTTATGCACCGTCAAATCGTCTTGGCAGGATCTGAGTCGCTGAGTGATCGAACCACGCGCAGCAACAATGCATGGGCACAAGTGCAGATCATCAAATGTGTTCGCCTTGGAAAATCGGCGCTTGTTGTCAAAGCACCAATGAGCACCACAAGTGCCAAAGCTGTTTGTTCGCAGCTCCGGAGCCCCTCTCGCCAAGAATGGCAAGTCTGTTCGCAGCTTTGAAGTTCCCATTGCCAAATCGACTGGCGAGCCATGCAAGCTTTGCACACAACAGCAGAGCTACTGCAAATATCATAAAAAAGGGAGTTTTCGTAGTCACGGAATCTGATGGATCGTTTGATTCAATCGGCCCCAGAACCGCAGAGCGACGGAGGCTGAACTATCCATATTCCGTCATCTGTTTTAGTCCACAGATGTATGTTGTTTGACAATTTAATTTAATTTTATAGTATCTTGATTGCGTATTGTGTACCGTGCTTGTCGACAACTTTGCCGCCCTCCAGTCGTAGCCATTTGATAGTGTGAGTTCTGTGTCGAGATTTAGACTCCGCCCGATAGCGCCTGATGGTTGTGAAACGGGGGATTGGATCGTTTGAAGTTGTTCCATTCCGACTCAGACCTGTGCCCGATCCTCCGTGCACCTCCAGTACGCAAGCTAGCTACAAGAGGCAGCTCCACCATGGCTCCCAGTGCTTTTGTCATTCCAATTTCATCTCGTTGTCAATTGACAACCTTCCTATCGATTAGACTACCTTTAGCAGGAACCAAAGAAGGAAGCGCCAACCAGGATAGCGACCACAGATCGATCAAAGGAAATCCAAAAAATATGCTCGTTGTTGCAAGCGAGAACTCAAAGAGGAGAGCATTGTGGATTGTCGTGTTCGCTGAGCAGAACAGTTAACGCCGTGTCTTTGTCATCCTTCCTTGGGCATCTCCGCCATCAACCAGACCTGCTGTGATTAAAGTGCTCTGCGCAAGAGTGGCGGCACCTCGTAGTTTGCAATGGAGGGCCAAAAAATGTTGACGCGGAGCCCTTGGTGGTCAACTTGTTGTTTCGTTTGACGGACGGATGCCACGCCCCACACGTAAGTTCTGTGCTAGCCAGGCCGGCAACCCTTTACAACCATGCCTTGGTTCCGTTGATTGCTGGTTTGTGTGTGATCCGGTCTTGAGTATGTGGATCTAGAGTTGTCATGACATGGTTGGTTTCATCTGTGGTGAACTTCCAAGCTGTCATGCTCCTTAATGGCATCGGCAACACGCTGGCACGGACAAAACCATCGAAACGAAAGAATGCTAGGTTTGTAGAGCAGGGATCAACTAACTGACCCAGATCGATGGTGCAAAGTGTCGATGGTTGCCACGGAAGGCACTGGTTTGCCAAAATCGGGTGGCGGGATTCCACACGTGTTGGAATTGGTTTCCGAGAGACGAATTCTCTTCGAAATCGACAATATGCTCTTTGAGGCTTCCTCTGTACGCGTACTTGGAAATGATGATTGCCTGCATGCATGAATGTCTGGCACGTGCACTGGTCAATGAAGTTTCCGCTAGCATCTCGAACTGTGGCAGGTGTTTTGCCGTTTGGACAGCGTTGTGAGACACAAGGTTCGATCCTTTGGTGCTGTTCTGTTAATTCCCGAACTTGGTGGCCTGTTCTCCGTTTGCTCTGGCAACAGCAAGTCACTAGAGGCTTCAACGCCATGATGATAGATACTGGAGCCAAAGAGAGCTCGAAGAGCCAATGGATGGTGGCATGGACTTCTGCCATGGATTGACCTGCTTCATTTTCAGGCAACCCGTCCTCGAAAGAAAGAAGGAAGAAATGCCAAAGTTTCATTGGAGATTAGTATTGCTTTCTAGCCGGAGGGAAAAAATGCCGAGAGAGAAGGAGTCGATGCATCAAGCCATTGGAACTCTTTCCTATGTCGAAAACATGAGCAAGTAGGCCCCGTATCTCGAAGGCCAACGAAGCCCACTGTGGCTGATCTTCTTTTGCGCTCCTGTGGCTGAATTGCACCATCCAGCAATCCACGATGAAGTGCAATTCACGCCTAGCGCGTCGTGTTTCCGGACTTGCCGGCATGGTCGACTCCTTGCGTCGTTGTGCAACGTATCAACACCAGCGTCATCCCTTTCTCCTCTTCTTTCCCCTTGGATGTCTCCACCTCTATTGTTGACACCGGGCCTTACTGCGTTTGCATGTACGTAGATGGTTCCTTCAGTCTCGATTGGAGAGTTTCCAAAGACAGTTTAACTTACTTACTTGTAAGGCTTCAAGCGATCGCGAGCTGCCTTTTCATCTGTGGACCATCGTCCTCTCCTACCGGTACCATTCATGGCCCAGAGTAGTGGCTATTTTGGGCGGCATTGGCAGGGCTCTACGTTCCATCGCTTGGTTCCATTCTGGCTCAACCCTTTGGTCGGTCCTCCATACAAGCGGTCCTGTACGCAAGCTAGCTAGGAGAGGCAGCTCCACCAGGGCTCCTCTCTCCCAGTGCATTTGTTGTTTAAATTTCCTTTCCTGTTGTCAATCAACCACCTTGCTATGGATCGATTACGCTACCTTTAGCTGGACCCCCATCTCCAAGTCAATGGCCCATGGAGGTGTGCAGCTTCAAAGGAACCAAAGAAGCACGTATGCTAGGAGCTGTGGCATTGTGGATTGTCGTGTTTGTTTGTTCGCTGATGAGCAGATGCGCAGCAGGATACCGGTATCGTGGTGCCTTTGTCATCCTTCCTTGGGCATCTCCGCCATCCACCAGACCAGACCTGATGTGCGTGCGTGATATATGTCATGTCCGCACAAGTAAGTAAGTGCTCTGCGCAAGAATGGCAGCCAAACAAATAATGATACGGAACACCGACTTTTGTGCTTTCGTTTGACGAACAACTATAGTACCAGTACCCCACACAACAGTTCTGTCCAGGCAATGCAATGCAATGCAATGCAATGCAATCAGCCCTGCCTGTACACATGTACTAGCTATATATAGTCCCGTACAGTACACGACTCATCAAAGAGTCCACCACAGATTGAGTTGCTGTTCATGATTCTTTTCGGTCAATTCCATAATCTTGTGAATGACAACGGTGGCATCATCTTTTTCCTTCCATTCAAAGTCAAGATTGGGTCCAATCCATCCCCCATAACTCTTCAACTTGTATCCCGCATCACACAAGAGTCGCAGTGCTTTTCGGTTGGGTACGGCAAGATGCTTGCGAGCGGATACTTCGAGGAATACATTTTGCACAATATGGGCATGCAACAACTGCTGGGCTCCCAACATGACACTGGAATCCAATCCTTCCACGTCCACCTTGAGAATGACAATTTTTGGAGCGGTAGTAGCAGCACTGCCATCTGGTGTTAGCCACTGTCGAGATTTGCAAAAGTTATCGAGTGTGATCACTTGCATGTCGGTTTCTCGATCTTTGCGTCGTTTGTCACGTTTTTCGATAAAGTGTCCTTGTCCGGGATTGGTTTTATGTTCCTCAAATTCCAGCATGGCTTCTTGTTTGCCCACTCCGTAGGGATACAAGTTGACTTGTGATGAGCTCATCTTACCAGTAGTCGTTGTTGTTGAAATGGTTGTATGCATATTAATAGCAGTGGTGTCAAATTCTGAATACCATTCATTGAGTCGGAGTGATTCACAGAATCTCAATTGATTTTTGGGATTGGGTTCAAAGGAATCCACAATGATGGGAGGTTGAATGGAAGCTGCTAGGAGGGTAAAGAAACCAATATTGGCTCCCACATCTAGCATTCTCAGTGGCTGTTGTTTGTCATTGTCATCTTGAGCCAATAATATTTCAATAAAGGCATCGGTGAGACTGAGCTCATAGTAATCATCCTTATCCATAATGACCCATCTGGAAACATCGAATTTCTTGTTGTGAAGGGAAATCCAGAACTTGTGGGGATTGACTAGTTGGCCTCTGGTATGAATCACTTGGGTAGCATGCAGTTTTCCGCCATTGGGATCAAACGTCAGATTGTGCAGCTGTTTGTAGAGGACCTCACTGCACTTGACAGGATCATACGGTCCAAGCTGTACTTGCAAAGATCGTTCCGTCTTGAACAAGTTCCAAAAGTACAACTGAATCAACAGCACCAAGCTAGAAGCTCCCCAAACCAGCGTAAGGATTGATGGCTTGCCCTGACCAAGAAACCCAGAAGATCGTTTCTTCTTGTCGTTCACTACTACTTGCATCTCGTTTTTAAAAGATCAATTAATTGAAGATGTTTGTGCTACCAGAGGTCAAGTCAACTGGCTTGTCATGTTGTGAGAAAGATCTTTCAGGTCATCCATTGAGTCGAGTCATCGTTTCGGTTCAACTTGGCTTGGGGTTGGGGTTCAAAGTTCACAACTCGCAAAGCCGTCTTCACCAGACACCACAGTATCCGAACAGGAACCAATCCCTCGTTTGCGCATCCCCTTACTTCTCCTGGGTTTAGTAGTTCAGTAGGGAAGTTATCTACTAGCTACCGGTACCGGTACTTTGTAGATGTCCCAGTACCATGTAGTGTTTTCAGTTCTAAAATTAGGACAGTTTCATTTCAAGTTCAGTCCTAGGAAGATCACGCGAGATCGCGCGATCTCGCGCGATACCCTGCGAGATCGCGCGAGACTTTGTGGGACTCAACTCGAAATGAAACTGTCCTAATTTTAGCACAATCTCAGTCTTGACAAGACTCACCCGAGTCAAATGAGCTGTCAAGAGTTATTGTAATTCTGGAGCCAATTCTGCACTCCACATCTTGGGGAGCGAGTGATGCGGTGCTATGTGGCAAGAATGTTCCGACCTTGTCGTCGAACGTGTGGTCGAACGTGTGGTGGGCTCAATTGCCCCATGATGGCCACAGATGAAACTAGCGATTCGATTCCAGCCATCCAGAAGTCCGATTCTCGAGAATCCCAATGAATCCAATCCAGGCATCTGCCAAATAAATGAGGTCAAGTACATGTAGCTTCCATTTGTGAGGGACCAAAGCACACTGCATGCATCCTCCATAGGTTCGCTAATGTGGTCTTCGCCATAGTATGTCAGGTTCTTTCGAATGATTCGATTCAATTCCAGCACTTCCGCCACTCGGCTCAGCTACCTTTTGTTACCTTGATGCCGATATAGTTGCCGATGGCTTGGAAGGCTTCCTGGATCTCAAGCTTCACAAATCGTGAAATCCTCACTGTTGTTCCGTACGAAAAAGCATGGATATTCACTCCATCGGTATACATAGTGAGGTCTTTACCTCGGAACGTTCGTGATGGTGGTTTGTATCCTATCACTCGTTCAGTGTGTCGGCCGATCGATTCCTTCCGTAGCATTAGGTAGCAAGTCCTGCTTGCGTGGAAGCGCATTTCCGTTGTGCTTTTCCTGTTGGGACTTGTTATCCAGTTTTCTCACCCGGGAACTCCTCAGTCTCCAACAATGATCTGCTCATCCACCTGCAGCTTTCTTCGAATCCCTCCTACATGCTATGTATTGCAACAGACCCAAGGCAAAATTTGTCAGATTTGGATGCTTTGCTCTCCGCACTGGACTTCTTCAATAAGATGTCATCATGAGAAGTTACTATGGGTTCGAGTGGACTATGGTGAGGACGTTGGAACCGCATTCTAACTACATACATGTACTACCATGTGGAGAGAAGCATTTCACAGCACACACAACTGAACCCCCCTTGACGATTGAAAGAAAGGAAGATATTATGGCTTAGAGGGAAATACTAGTACCGTATGGTGAGGATGGGCTGCAAAAAGAGGAGGGGTGACGATGGAGGGTGGACCGGGAGGGAGTTGGCATCCCTCAAGTGGAAAGTGCTTTCTAGCTAGCCAGTGCAAGGCACGCAAGAGCAAATGCACTTGCACCAAAATGCTAACTCGAAGTTGACATTTTCGTAAGCCAGTGAACGTACCGGTAGCAAAACGTGGCGTTGTTTCAAGTTACTTCGGTATCTTTGTCTATCTGTATGGTGGCGCTATCAGAGGTAGCTGCCATGGTACTGTACACTTTGAATCGGTGAAAGAGATGATGCAACATGTACAGGTACCAACGCAGCTAAGTACATCCAATTTGCGTGGTTCAGAAGCGGGAAGCATCTCTCGGTATAGCATCATGAGAAAACGATACATCGAGGAGCTAGTGCCACGGATTCTGCAGGCAAATTCAGGTCTGTTCACTGCCATGAGACTTTTAAAAGTTGCCGAGTGCCAATGAGTTTAGTCATGAATGCACACATGGAGCCATGCCTGCTTTCCTGCTGCGGCCTGGTACCGGCACAGGCAGACGCCTGTGGTAGCTTGTATGTATCTGATTGGTCTGTTGGTGTGCATCATCGTGTTCTTGCAATGCGGAGATCCAGCGCGGAGATCCAGCAGCACTGGTTGATTGAGCTCCCATTGTAAAAAATGGCAGCTTCTGCGTCTCCCAAAAGCCGTTCCCACTCCAACCCAAGTAAGTTTTCTAAGGAAATTGTAGCTTGCTGTCATGGAGTCAAAAGCTAGGAACCAACATGCTTGCCCCCCAAGCCAAGATTCTCTCACAACGCCTTGCTTCTGCTACAACTCAATTTTCCTACTCTCAAATGATGTTCTTCATGCAGACCTGCAGAATCTCAATTGCCCTTGTGAAAGCTACCCATGTATGTCTGGGTGGATCTCCCAAAGCCAAACCATTTGGCCCCCGTAATGGTCCTCACTTTCTTGCCCCTGATCCCACAGAACCTAGTCCTGAATTTCGACTGTTCTTTGCTTAAGCCTGGCCCCGGCTGGCTTCCGTAGATAATTTCCCTACTGGTTTCCGTAGATAATTTCCCTACTCTTAAACCCCATTTTGATTTACATACACAGATGTCTCCTGGCTGTCACAATATGTAATATTATTTAATATACGCAAGGCAGCAACAGCGCAACAGCACATGATCCAGTATTTGATCAGACCCACTTAAAGTCTGGTAAGCAAAGGTGTCTGTAGCCATGTCATCCTGGGGAAAAAACCGCTCTGATCCTCCTGGCCATGGGCAACCGCCAAGCCAGCCTGCTCCCTACCCATCCATCAACCCTCCAGCTGTGCCAAATTTCATGGCAGAATTAGCAGCTCAAAAGTCAAACCCACCACCCACTTGGAACCGGAATATCGAGGCAGTGCAAGATTACAAAGATAGGTACCCCTCTTACATGTATGGGTATGGTTTGCAATATTCGGAGAATCCTAATTTATACAGATGGCTTTTAAAAAGTGAAGAAAAGAAATTCAAACATGGAAGGTTGGACAAGGAGGGCCCTGAGCAGGCGGCCAAGTTCCGTGAAATTGGGATCTTTGCCAATGTTGATCCTCACCATCGTACTCCCCTTCTCCGGCAAGGCACTTCCAATGCTGCTACTACTACTAGTAATAGTCTCCATGAACATTCAAACCAAGACAGGGGGGTCATTGTGATTCACGATCTGACCAAGGATGAAGAGCCTGCAACTGAGGAAGAATCTTGAAACTCACGATTATTTGACAAAGGATGAAGATCAGGCAACTGGGAATGAAGAAGCCAAGCCCTCTATCGACGAGGGCAACAAGAAGGAGACAACTGGTACCGGTATTGCTCACTACATCCAGAAGTTTCGAACGGGATGCCACTGTGTTTGGAATGCACTCCGCGGAGTATCGGCCAATTTGGGAGATGCAACAAGCCGTTCCAGTGGCAGCAAAGAAGATCCCCAAGAACCTGTGACTACAGGCCAAGAAGAGGTCAACCAGGAGTCTATTGATTCGGGATCTGCTGCTCGGGAAGACACCAAGCAGAGCAACAGAAAGAGGAAAATGACATCTGCATCCTCAAGGCCCAAGAAGAAGGTGGCCGTGACTTCTGCCAAGCCTTCCCCTGAGCTGGCTATGAATCATCTTATTTGCCTCAATCAGGAAGGGCCACTCCGCCAACTTGAATGCTGGAGGATCCAACACCAAAAATGATCCTCCAGTTACACCCAACAACAACAAGATTGATCCCCCAGAAACAGCGGGAATGGCTACTAGTACTACATGTACCATTGTAGCTCCCCCACATTCAGTAGTTGTGGGAGATGCTCACTGCAACCACAGCAATGACAAGAACCACAAAAGGGATCTCCCACATGCTCCAACCCCTCCAGAAGCAGTTGTGGTGCGTCGTGCCACGACAACCACTTCGGTGACATCTCCCCCTGTTTTGGTCTTTGCACGAGGTGTGAACAACGACTGTCGCTGGCATGCCCCTGAGGATCAGGACGGGGAGAGCAAGAAGAAATCAGCCAGGCTTGAAATTGCCAAGGAAGCACTCCCAGAAACACCGGCCCTTGCATCTACGAAGGATGCTGCCATGTCAGAAGCTGAAAAATGGCATGAATTCTCTTGTTCCAGACGTTCTCCAGTAGCAAGAGCCCCCAGAAACGTTGGCCAGAGAATCGAAGTTCCAGCTGCCATTGTGACTGGCATTTTCTGTCAGGCTATCACAGATTCTGCCCTGCAGAGTGGGGCCAACCACTATCCCAGCAGCAACAACAATACGCAAAGGTCTAAGGAAGCCATATTACCTTCACAGTATTGTGATTGTGAGAATGATGATGAGAAATCGGAGCTTGGCGAAAAGAAACCAAGAGCAGCAGCATTGGGAGGAAACAATAGTGCGATTGACAAGGTGCAAATGGCCGCCATTCTCAAGGGAGTTGACCATTGCCTTAGGTATCGTGCAGGAGGGATCGACTGTGATTTCTTTCGTTTCAAAGGTCGGGACAAATCTGGGTCGCTACAACACGTCACAACAACACAAATCAAAGAGGCCTGGTTGCAGAATGTGCAGCAGCCATGCAACAATGGTGGGATTCACGAGAGGCAGATGGCTGCCATTCTCAGGGGAGTTGACAGTATCCTCACATTTGGCAGAGGAGGACTAGGTACGTTCACAGCGATCAAAGGTCGCGACACATCTGGGGCACTACGAAAGTTGACACCAAAACAAATCCAAGAGGCCTGGGAACAGTTCCTTGCAGAACAAAAATGGTGAATGATGAGTTATATTGGCACAACTTTTAGTGTGACGTTTAGATTTTCTTTTGTTGTGCATGTAGCTGCTTCTTGTGCTATATGGTTTGTAGCTCAGCTGTCATCTTTGCATTTCCCAGTCATCTCCAAATGCTGGTATAGTATTTTAGGTAATAAGCTACAATCAACCTGAACCAGATTGCCATACCCTTTGCTGGCAATGGCCCAGCCTACGAGGTGCCAGATTGAGACTACGGTACGGAGAATCGCAATACAATCCTCGGCAAGGGAACCCTCGGCCACAAGGGAGACTTCTGTCGGGGACTTTTGTTCTGAGAAAGATCTTTCAAGTCATCCTGACAAAGGGTTCGCGGTCATGTGTTGTGGTTCAACTTAGCTTGGGGTTGGGGTTCAAAACTCACGAAGTCGAGTCAAGTCGAGAAGAGCTCGTGCTGCTACCAGTATATACGGGGGTATTTCCTATACTGTGCATCCACTTCTTCTGGGTCTCAGAGTAGCTATAGGAGGTTATCTAGCTACCGTAGGGAAGCCAGCAAGGACCAGGCGAGGTTGAAGAAGAGGCGAAATTCTGGACTATCTAGGTTCCGTGGGATCAGGGGACGAGATCTTCTTTAAAGTTGTCGCTACACCTCTTAGCGTTGAACACAGTTATAGTTGTTTCGAGTCCCATTGCAATTTGCAAATACCACAAGAAGGCCCTGCCCAAGGCCGAAGCCCCTCCAGCAGCCGGTCCCGCTTACGAGATTATGGGGGGGTTAGGCATGAGCGCGGGGGAGGGAAAAAGAAAGAAGAAGAGGGAGAGGGTTATCCGTTGAGTTCCAGATTCCATGGTCCAGTCATCGAGAGCAAAGATCCAGTCATCGAATGACATGAAATACATATAGTAAAGAGGGGAGAAGGCAGTGACCTTTACTTTCCCCATACTTTAACAGTCATCGCCCCATTGAATCATGTCTGAAGAACAAGAAATATGTCAGCAATACGTCATAACAGCATCATCTCTTTGGTCCTTTGCTTCCATATTTTGAATCCATTCAATGGCTTTGCTCTTTTCTCTCTTTTCCCTTTCCTTCGCTCGAACAAAACCCTCCCACTCCGACTTGACGCACTTGTTGAGAGGGATTCAACGCATTGGCCGTACGACTTGTTGAGAGGGATCCAATGCTTCGGTCGTATGGTGGCGAACAAAGGAACTCCTCCTAGAAGAACACTACTAGCTACTAGTAGTCAATATTCATTATTTCGATACCTTTACCCTATTGACTCTATCAAAATGGTGTTGTCTCCTCCTTTACAGCGGCTCCTCTTCCATTCCACCACCATGAGAGGCTCTCCACCACCATGATGCCTTCTCTTCCACGGAGCGATCGATCCCCCACAACAACAACAACAACAACAACAACACAACACCACAACAACAAAAACACCTCAACAGATCGATTCGGTCGATCGACACAACAACAACAACAACAACAAAAGATATACTACTACAACAACTACTACTACTACTACTCCTTGATTGCTGCGCTATTTTGCCTTGAAGTCAGTGCCTACTTCGGTAGGGGCAACCTCTTGCAACATCAGCTGCATTATCCGACGCCTACCCGCCCACTACCGACCGACTACCACCACAACCACCACAACCAAACTGACCAACCACAACCAAACTGACAGCTGTGTACCGAAACAACATACAGCTAGCATTATGCCATGAGGGCCAGTCCGATACCACTACCGACGGACTACCGATACACTACCGACCCTTTCCTCTCCAACCAACGTCTCTACCACCGGCTCCAATCCACCACCACCAACCAATCAACCAACCAATCAACCAAAATGTCACCGCCCTCAGGAGCCCGAGGCTATGCCATTTTTTCTTCTTCGACAACAATGTTGCCCCTATTCAAGCGAATTCAAATCTCCTTGTCCTCTGGTCTTTGTGTTTTTGATGCAACGAGTGTGGTGTGCTCTCTTTGGAACACGCAGGCCCAAGTGTCTCGCCCTACAGACTTACACTTCTTCAATGGATCAAAGACTTCTGCTCCTCTCCATGCAATTGTTGTTTGCGGTCCTCTTCTCTGGCTCTCTTCGATCTGTTGTTGTTGTTTGTTGTTGTTGTTGTTGGCCATTTGTTATGCTCTCTTCTGCTGGGAATTCCTATTCTGACTTTGGCAGCCCATGTCTTCTTCATTTTGTGTTGTTGCTGCTGCTGTTGGTGTGCTGTTGCTGCTGCTGTTGGTGGCTCCATGACTGTCCAGTGGCATTGTCATTGTCGATCGATCGACAACGGAATCCTTCTTTCGCGAAAACGAAAGAAGAAATCCGCCATTTGTAGCACACTTATCGTAATATCTATAAATGGTACGTTAATATATTTGATGGTACGTTAAGTATATTTGAATCTTTCTACGCATTTGCTGATGTCATAGGTTTGATTAACCAATCAGATCCTGCTCTTCTACCGCTTTCAGCCCCCTGGTGATTTATGGGGGGGGTTAGGACATGAGCGCGGAGGGAGGGAAAAAGAAGGAAGAAGAGGGAGAGGGTTATCCGTTGAGTCCCAATTCCATGGTCCAGTCATCGAGAGCAAAGATCCAGTCATCGAATGACATGAAATACATATAATAAAGAGGGGAGAAGGCAGTGACCTTTACTTTCCCATACTTTAAGCAGTCATCGCCCCATTGAAATCATGTCTGAAGAACAAGAAATATGTCAGCAAATACGTCATAACAGCATCATCTCTCCTTGGTCTCACATTGCTTCCATATTTTGAATCCATTCAATGGCTTTGCTCTTTTCTCTCTTTTCCTTTCCTTCGCTCGAACCAAACCCTCCCACTCCGACTTGACGCACTTGTTGAGAGGGATTCAACGCATTGGCCGTACGACTTGTTGAGAGGGATCCAATGCTTCGATCGTAGTGGTTGGCGAACAAAGGAACTCCTCCTAGAAGAACACTAACTAGCTACTAGTAGTCAATATTCATTATTTCGATACTTTACTCTATCGTTACTCTATCAAAATGGTGTTGTCTCCTCCTTTACAGCGGCTCCTCTTCCATTCCACCACCATGAGAGGCTCTCCACCACCATGATGCCTTCTCTTCCACGGAGCGATCGACCACAAAAAACAACAAACACACAACAACAAAACAAACTCACAGATGATTCGGTCGATCGAAATCAACAACACAACAACACAACAAAAGATAATACTACTACAACAACTACTACTAACTACTCTGTCCATTGATTGCTGCCTAATTTTGCCTTTAAGTCCAGTGCCTATTCGGTAGGGGCAAGGCTCTTGGCAACATACAGCTAGCATTATCCTACGTACAAGCTTCTGACGAGACTGACTTAGGCCATGATGACTACTCAAAGGTGACAAAGCTAGACTTATCTCCTACGGCATTCTACACACACACCAGCCTCAACCAAGTAGACGACAAATCTATTATAAGAAATTCACTGGAAGGCTGGGTAGCCTGAATGTTAATCTCTTTACTAATTTTTGAATCTGATGGGACGCCACTGACCTACAAGCAACGAAATGCACCCACTGGACACTGTACGAACAACATCAGCTAGCATTAATGCCATGAGGGGCCGGTCCGATACCACTACCGACGGACTACCGATACCACTCACCGAACCCTTCCTCTCACAACCAACGCGTCCTTCACTACCACCGGCTCCAATCCCACCACCCCAAACCAATTCAATCCAAAACCAATCAAACCAAAATGTCACCGCCCTCCAGGAGCCCGAGGCTATGCCATTTTTTCTTCTTCGACAACATTGTTGCCCCTATTCAAGAGAATTCAAATCTCCTTGTGCTCTGGTCTTTGTGTTCTTGATGCAACGAGTGTGGTTGCTCTCTTTGGAACACGGCAGGCCCAAGTGTCTGCCTTACAGACTGATACACTTCTTCAATTGGATCAAAGATTTCTGCTTCCTCTCCATGCATTGTTGTTTGTGGTCTCTTCTTCTCTGGCTCTCTTCGATCTTGTTGTTGTTGTTTGTTGTTGTTGTTGTTGGCCATTTGATATGCTCTCTTCTGCTGGGAATTCCTATTCTGACTTTGGCAGCCCATGTCTTCTTCATTTTGTGTTGTTGCTGCTGCTGTTGGTGTGCTGTTGCTGCTGCTGTTGGTGGCTCCATGACTGTCCAGTGGCATTGTCATTGTCGATCGATCGACAACGGAATCCTTCTTTCCCGAAAACCGAAAGAAGAAATCCGCCATTTGGTAGCACATTGTATCCGTAATATCTATAAATGGTACGTTAAGTATATTTGATGGTACGTTAAGTATATTTGAATCTTTCCTGACGCATTTGCTGATGTCATAGGTTGATTAACCAATCAGATCACTGCCTTCTACCGCTTTCGCCCTGGGTGGCAGGCCCTCATGACATTGACACCACGGGACCACGGGTGATTGCAAGGTCGATTGGTCCAACTGCGCGCAAGGCTTCCACAGCCCACCATACTCAGCTCCGTTTGTGCCTTCCTGTTGGGACTTGTTTTTATCCAGTTTTCTCACCTAGCAACTCCTCAGTCTCCAACAATGATCTGCTCATCAAGATGCAACCTGCAGCTTTCTTCGAATCCCTCCTACATGCTATGTATTGCAACAGACCCAAGGCAAGCAAAATTGTCAGATTTGGATGCTTTGCTCCCCGCACTGGACTGCTTCAATAATAGAAGCATTACACAGCATAACACAACTGAACCCCCGTTGATGATTGATGAGTGGAGGGTGGAGGGAGGCCCTCATCGAAAATGACCTGTGGTAGCGATTTATGACTATCCAGTTACCAGATTACTAAAATCAACCACAACAACCAAGTAGTAACACTCACAACACTATAGCAACCTCTTTATCAACACCATCAGCCTTTTTCGGCTTATCAGGCGTGGAAGCTACTAGCGATAGAAGAACAAGCAAGCAACGACCGATCCCTTTGTCGCGATCGTTGCGAGCGACGAGCCGT